CTTTCTCTTTTTTCTATTTCTTAGAAGAGTTTCTTTTAGAATACTTTTCTATAGCTATAATATTAACCTGCTTTTATAAATACCTTAACTTTTTTATAGTTTTAGCCTTATTAGGGTTTTACTAAGCCTATTTAGTATACTTAGAATATTTTATATTTCCTAAAAAATATTTTTTCTATTTATAAGTCTAATAAACTATATCTGAAATAGAACTAGTACTTTATTAAAGCTTTAAAAAGGCTAAAATATTATTTAAGGATTTCTTATATAATTTTCGGAACTTATTCTTCCTTTTTTAATAGCCTTATAAATTAGAATTTACTAAGTTAGGGTCTTTAGAGATAGAGTTACTTTTATTAGACTTTCTTATCTTTACTTTTCTTAATTTAGAATAAATAGTATATTCTGTTTTCTAAGCTTTCTTAAGCTATTCGGAAATAGATACTATCTTATTTCCTAAGAGAATAGATATAAGTATCTAATAAATCTTATAATTAGATAAAATAATATTAAGAGTTCAAATCCGGTTCTTTTTAGAATATAGGTTCTAGTTAATTTTGAGACTAATTATCCGAATATATAACTTAGTAATTATCTTATTATTTTTCTAATAAAGATCTCGGAATTTCTTAAAGATATCTTATTAATAGGTTTAAGATACTTAGAATATATTAGCTAAATAGGCCTTAAATTACTTCTAATAAATCTTATATAATAATAGGCTTTATTTTATTATAGCCTCCCAAGTATTATAAGATTTGTTTCTAAGGGCATTTATAATAGAGTTAATTCTAGAAAAATATCTATTATAAGTCTAAAGTTAGGTCCTAAAAACTATTTTCTAGAAAAATATAAATATTCTCTATTTCTTAAGGAACTTTCTATAATATAAGTCAGGTATCTAGACCTTAAGAAGCTTCTTTTAGTCTAAATATATCTTTAGAATATTATATAATAGCTTCTAATAAATAATATTAAGATTACTCTTAAAACTTATTATATTAGAAAAGAAAGTAAGTTCTAATCCTATTTTAGGAAGTTCCCTAATAGGAATTACTAAAGAAAATAGGATAGACTTATAAATAGAGTTTCTATAAGATATAATAAACTATAAGGTATCTTTAAAAATACTCTTATATTACTCTAACTATAAGATATATTAGTTAATTATATTTACTAATTCTTGCTTTTATTAAAGTACTTTAACTTTAGTATATAAGCCCTATTCTATAGCTTAGATAGTAGTAATTCGGGTATTAATTTCGGTATCTTAATTATTACCAGGATTATTTATATTATTATTACTAGCTCTCGGAGGCTTCTAAGAGGCCCTATTAAAAGTATTAGATAAGCCTTTACTATTACCTATATTAGGGTTAATCTATTTAATTTCCTCTATAGGAATAGCTTTAGTAAGGGGTTATATATTTCGCAGATTTCGAGATATAATTACTTATTAAACTACTTCCTTTAAGGATAGAGAGATTAGCTTATAAGGTATTTATTAGTAGGTAATAAGACAATAAAATGAATTAGTATATTATAAAACTATAGTATTAAATTCAGTATAGAACTAATCTCTATCTCTTTTATAAGGTCTAAGGAAGCCCCCTCTAAATAGGAGGCCCCGATGGCATATATATAATTAGTGATTTATAAGTATAATACATATAATATAAATAGTAGTTGGTTGGGATATCGAAGGGCTGCCGAACTCCCTGATCGATACCTGCGATATCCGAGGTTCGTTACATGCCCTTAAGTCACGTGCGACCCTATACACATTACAACTAGCTAGTCATCTTCTTTTACTTTTAATAATACTGTTTCTACTCTCTAATTCGCTATTTTGTTTGCGCATATTCTTTACTGCTTGCGTTTTGAGTCTTGGTTTTTGTATTTACTTATATAGAGTCCTTTGCTTGCCACGTCACCCCCCCCTTATACTAGAACCTAGATCACTTAACTATGCACGTGACAACTCCAATTCCTAATATTGGTCCTGGGCGGACGGCTAATAATTAGGGATTTTTATTAAACTTATTACATTAAGGAAATATTATAGAATAATGAGACCAATATACTTGTTGTGACGTCAGCGTCACATGACCTGGCCCTAGCGTGGCACCCTGTACTTAGCTCGAGCTCCCCGCTCTCTTCTCTCCATAGACGTTACATACACACCCAAAAGAGCTGTTTACCAGACCAGGTCTTCAGCCCAGGGACGTGATAATACTTATCACATGTATGTAAGCGAATGTGGATCTAAAAATAGGTTTAGAGGGATCTCGCATCAAGGGGGCCAGAACGGGCCCCTTTGGGAGCTAAAATGGCCTCTTAGTACATGCTCAGGCTGACTTTGCCATGTGCTCAGGTTACTTAGGCCGAGCTCAGGCCGATCTCAGGCATGCTCAGGGAATACTCACTCTCGGCTCAGGTTAAAGCGGCAGCTGCTCACGTCTAAACACTAAAACGGAACCAGCGAATAAAAAAGTTGAGTCTGACTTATGTGGTAGTTGTTGCTCACTTACTGCTTTTGGCTGTTATACTGTGGCTGTTCTTGGCACGAACGGAAGTCTCGTCCCTCGGAAATTCATGGTAGACTGTGGCATAGCTTCAAGGGGATGAACTTAGAGAGTTGATTGCTCATTCTAGCTTGAGGACTGATTTGCAGGTAGAAAAGAGAATGCTTGGGTCGGGGTTGCGGAGAAGATTTGTTGGCATCAGACTCTCTGATGATAGAAAGAATGCGGAGGTTGTCCCTTCTTCCTAATCCCTAAAAGGCGAGGCTAAATAAAGTGTATCTTCGTCCATCCCTCCTATCCTTCTAGACTAATCGCCCTGTCGCTCTCACAAACTTCTGCTGAACCCCTTTCACCGTAAGCGAGATCCTCGGGGGCAAGTTTTCGACTTGATGGACTACTGTTTAACATCAACTGCCTAGCCCCAGGGCAATTGCGAATCATTTCTATCTTCAGGGATCCATTGTTTTATTTAAATGAACTGCAAACGAATGCATAACTGCGGCCTGTCGTCGTTCGGCAAGCCCTTTGAGCTCTAGTTTACTTAGAATGCTACCACAGCGTACCAGCATCGTTTAAGATGGACAAAATGAGAAGTAATTTCTGTTATGAGGCTATGCGTAGTGAAACCAAGCCGCTCCTTTTTCCTCTACGAATAGTTGCGGAATATCTACGTCCCCTCCACGTTCACATCATGTGCACTACGTCGGTAATGCTTCCCCCACTCCAAAAACTGCGCACCGAACACAATTTTTCTAATCTCAGCATGATCATACACCAAACACCGAATTCTAGATGTCGGTTCATTAAAATCCTCCCTCTGCTTCAAGCCAACAGAGCCAGGACTTCCTCGCTCCTTACCATCGCCAACACTGACCCAAAAAAAATCCGCTCTTCTTCACTCGGAGTGTGGATTGAGTCCGAGCTAATTTGCACAGGCGAGGGGAATTAGATTTGTCTGAGGTTGGAATCAAGCCAGGTGATGGCTGGCTTCCAGCTTTTGGCCGTGTTTATGCATCCATCGAGAGCTCTCAAACTGTGGCTAAGTCTGGCGGCTTGGAGGCGGTAAATGGTGGGATGTAGAGATATACTATCTGTGTTCCGTGTTGAAACCGAGCTGGTTTCTTCGGTCTCGATTGATCCGAGTTGATTTGAGGAACTGCTGCTTATGATCGAAGTTCCGCGTGAAGAAAAACTCTCTTGATCCTGCCAGGCAGGAATTCGTATACTCTCTTGCCTGATTCGAGAGATTGTACTTGGTATTCGAAAATTGTTGCCTCGGGCAAATGATCTTGACTACCAGATGTCTTGGAACAGTGAGTATAATATTCCCTTGGATGTGGAAGTGTGCCTCGTTCAACTATTTGCGTCCCAATAAAGCGGAGTTTGCCCTGGACGCCTGGATGTCATGATTAAAAGGCATCGAATCCAGACGAGTTCTACTTGGGGGACGGCCAGATTGATCCGGCCTCCTCCTTTCGATTCACCCAAGTATGTTTATAGCGTCCAGGTGCATCTTTACTTCCTCTTGAAAATCGTTGCTACTTGATGTTAGCTTAGAAGTAGGTTAAGATATGGACGCTTACATTTCTTCGCGGTTTTCCGACGAGTCGTCTCCTTTCTGCACTGTGTCGAAAATTATATAGGCCATCATCAAAAGAAAGTTGCTTTTAGGCTCTCCATATGCGGGTGTAGCACCTCGACATATTTCTTGCGGGTTGCTCATTTTATCTCGATGATCATCTTGCTGCTGCTTTCGACAGACTGGATCCAAAGTCACACGCAATCTATCCTTTTCCCCGTGTGCCTGGATTGTTCTGCTAAGGATTCAACAATCCGAGGTTCTTTGAAACATCTGATGAGAAGAGAGGCAGGTTGCGACTCAGAATAGCTCTTCAGAGAGCAGTACCCCACTTTTACTATACCCACGGATGTCCGAATGTCCTTCGCGAACTTCTCGATGTCGCCGCTCGCTCCTCCGATATTTTGAGAGAATTACAACAAGAATAGCGAAATCTCCAAGGCTGCGCCAGCAAGGCCAGTAAATGTGTTCAGGCTAGCTGAAAACCCGAGAGGATCCATCCTTCGGTAGTCTGCCAAGGACTGTGAAGCTAGGAAATGAATGAGGATATGAGAAATGGACCATCCTGCAGTTTGTTAACATAAGGATGAGCTCAAAGCCTCAAAACATCCATCCATGGTTTCAATGCGGCTGTGAAAAATGCGTGGGGGAGGCAGCTGAAGAGAGCACTTTCAGATGCCTGCATCGGCATGCAGGCAAGGGGTCACTCCTTGTACAGCAATTTACGAGCCAGAGCGATTATATTTATCTTCCCAATAATGTCTTCTCTTACTAACAAATGGTTTCCCAAGGACCAACACCTCCTCCTCGTCCTCATAAACACAACCAGCCTTCAACAGCATATGAATCAAGAAAACACACCGTGACTCCACTTCAAACTCACAATTCCTCTCCCCTTCTTCTCTTCGCCGTCACCGCAAACAATCTTATTTTTGCCCCTAGCTTCAATTTATCGCAATGTGAATTATGCCGCGTGACTACAAGATCTTTGATTCAGAAAGTTCGCGAGGACCACATCCTACAACTTTCTGTTCTTACCCTGCACTTTCCCCTCCCCATGAAAAATTCCCCTTTCCTCAACTTCCACCCCGTCATCACCACCCCAATAATATCTCTTCCTCTCCAAAAATGGTTTCCCAAACATCAAGGACCTAATATCATGTTCATACACCAGACACCTTACCCGGAACGGTTTGCGATATTGCACACCCTTACTCCAAAGTATGACAACCTGGCCACAGCTTTTCCTCTTCTCCCCATTCTCAAAGTGAAAATAAACGGGGTCTTCGTCGTCTGGCGGCTCCATTTCGAGCCCCAAGCTCTGGACGCGTGCAAGAGAAATGAGATTATGGTCGAGCGTTTTATCGAGTAGGGCAGTTATGGAGATAGAGTGGTGATCTATGTTGACATAACCTTGAGTTGGGATCATAGGTCGGGTGGAATTGAGTTGCAATAAATAGCTTTTTGGACCGACGGAGATGAAGTCTTCATCAACTTTTGAAATTGTACTAGCTCCCTCAAGCTCAACGGGGCTAGGCTGCTCTGACAGGTCGTGTCTCACGGCCTCAACCTCTCTTGGAGACGAGTCTTCTTTCTCATGTTTGCGTGGAATCCGTCGTCTCTTGTGGGTTAAGTTTAGCGGTTGGACGCGAAGTTCCCTTGATTCGACCGTTGTCGCTAACGAAGAAGTGTGCGAACTTGTTGCAGTTGTCGAACTTTCAGAGATAGAAACAGGCGACCCCTCGTCTTGCCCGGCCACGGGAGCGCCGGGTCTTTCGCCTGTCTCCGGCCGCTCCGGTGCTGGGCGATGCGGCGGAGTCCGCGATGCAGTACGTTCCACCGGCTGAGGGCGTATTGAAGTCCTCGCAGGACGCAAGGCCGGCGGGGGCGAATTCGGCCGGGCATGAGATTTCGGGATAAGACTTGATGCCAAATGGGCATGAGCAACTGCCCGGGAAGCGAAAGAAGATGCGGGAGAGTGATCCAGGTCCAGAACTCTACCTTGGTCAACCATATTCTCGCCTAGATCAACAACCTCTTTAACTCCCACCTGGAGATCAAAGAAGTCTTCATCATCATTTTCTGGCTCTTTTTCGTGTACATATCGCAGCTGTTCAGTCAACTCGGCGATTCGTTCCTTCTGATGAACAATTTGCCGCTTTAATCTCTTCCTATTGGTAGCAGTCAGCAAATACACAAAACTATGAGAAAGGATCAATCCTCACACTAAACGCTTATTTTCACGAGACTCGCCCTGGTTGAGGACCGACTCCAATAACACGACATTTATGGTTAGCTGAAGGCTCGACTTGACACTTTCCATCTTTGGACGTAAGGCTTCCACTTGGGGGCGACGCGTTGCCCATTTGAGACGCTCGCCAAACGGAATTCTGCTCTCCAAGGACTCGAGGCGGGGCCATATTTTGTCGATATGATCTATGACTCGATTTGATGCTGCAAGTATTCGGGCGAATAGCTTAGACTTATGGATGCTTTGAAGGACTATGGTTTCAGCCGGTGACTTCTTGGCATACTCATAAAGCGTGAGATTTGCGGCATTGATAACCAGAGAGAAGTCTTTGATGTCTGTGGCAAACTCTCGGATATCCTCTTGAGCGTAGCCGAGATCTCGAGCGAGGCGGCGTATATCCTTTTGAATTGTATAGGCTGTATCCGCAGCGGTCCCGATGTTGCCGATGACTCGTAGAAAGTCTGCCATGAAGAGATACAGGAGACAGAGGAGATGTAACGGAAACAATAGCGGGAAATCGTTGAACAGGGGAAAGAGAAACCTAACTTCTCAATCTTCCAGCTTTTAACATGCCATAGCCTCATTTACACCACCCTCCATCTGCGGGGAAAGGAGGGTTTGAAGAATCGTGTAAGGTGCGAGGTAGGCTCAGTAAGTTCCAGTTCAGTCTCCATGCATGCGTGGTGTAACCTCAACTGCAGCCCCTCCACTAGTCCATCCACTGAGACTGCCTCTCTTAGGAAATTCCATGAGGCTGCAATTATGATTGGCAACATATATGAACCAGTGGAATAAAAGACCAATACACACACCAATGTACTTGCAGACATTCAACGAATAAAGATAAAATAGTGAGCCGTAAATATGTGATGCGAGCAGAAACGGGTGACCGAGTAGACTGCTCAAGCCGCACCTGCTGCTCAACCGGCATCGAGGTGGAATCTGCCTGATTGGAACTATGAATTGGAATCGAATGATTATTGCAATTGGCTCAACAGAGCAGAGCAGTGTAGAGAAAGACGCCACACGAGGAGAGGGAGTCCGCCTTGCGGGGCTGAATCCAAGTCTCGAATTGAACACATTTCATCAGTGCAGCCTAAGGGGCCAGAAAATCTTGCTATTATTCATTGAGTCTGTGCTGGTACTCCTTTGGGGTGACGAATTGCTCCTGGGTATCTACCGCCAGCAATCCATTCCATTCATGTGTTACACTTCCGCCAAAGCTCCCGATTTCTATTTTGCTCCTTCGTACACACGTTGCCCGCACCCCTGGTCAAAGGAGCCGACTTTGACTTTAGGAACCTCTAAAATTCATCAGAGGCACTGGCGTCATCAATCACCTCGCCACGCTTCGGGACTGGAGCCTTCTTCAAAATACCCTTCAGTTGTGATCGGTCCTTAACGAACAGAGAATCTGGATCACTGTCATCTCCCGTGAGATCAATACCACCACTTCCAAACGGGACCTTGCTCTTTCCTTTGTCCCTAACAGTAAGATCCTCTCGTCCTCCAGATCCAAACAGAATCTTCTGCTTGCCCTTGCCCCTGACATCAATGCCCAACACATCATCGCTTGTCTCCTCCATACCCTCGTCATAACTCGTCTTCTTCTTTGCCGGCTTCTCCCTTTTCCTCTGTTCAGCCTTATTTCCTTGATACTCCGCAATAGCTTCCTTGCCGACATTCTCCGCTGGCTCCCAGGTGTTTTCCCACTCACCGACCCACTTGATTAGGTACCATAGAACGGACTTTTGTTTCTTATCCATTCGATACTGGTCAGCGAGGATAGCGTCCACTTCATACTCCGGTTCATCATCCTCGCCTTCTTCATCTTCTTCATCTTCCTCCTCGTCCTCCTCGCTCTCCTCGCTCTCCTCTTCAACTGGTTTCGGAGTTGCGCTTTTCTTGGATTTGGGAGTCTCACTTTTGTGACGGGTGGGATTGGCGGCGGCTAGGCGTTGTGATGAGGATGGTGGTTTACCAGAATAGGAGTACTTTTCAGTCAGTGAACCGGCCTTCGCTTGGCTTTTGCGTTCAAGCTTTTCGTAGATTTGGCGGGCTTGACGGCTTGATGTTGTGGCAACTGAATCTCGACGTGAAGGCCCAGAAGCAGAGGTATTGAGAGTCTCGTGGCCCTTAACGCCGGCCGTTGAAGAGACTGAACCGCTTCGAGTCTCTCTTCGATCAAATGGTGGAACTGGTGGGTTCTTAGATTTTTGGATCGACTTAGGTTCAGGTTCCGGGGAAGTGGTTGCGGAGCGAGTGAGTTCCATGGCGAGTTTGGATCGGCCGGGAGTTCCGTTTAGTTGTCGATCGAGAAGCTCAGCTGTATCTTCCGCGAAGGAATCTTCGTCTTCGCTGTCAACGTCCAACAAATCGGCAAGTCCTCGTTGCTTGACTGGAGTTGACAGTGAAGGCCGTCTGGGATTCGTAGTGATAGCATCTTCCTCCTCAGTGTCGACTCCTCTCCGCTTTCGACCTGCACGAGAGGGTGGCTCAGGTGTCGGAGGCCTCTTTCTCTTCCTGCTCCAAGTCTTCTTTGGTCCCTCAGAAGCACGTGACGCGCTGCCCCCTTTCTCCTTCAAGAGCTTCCTCTGCTCTCTCGCCGCAATCTTTGGCAACAGCTCATCCCTCTCCGCTTGGTCTTTGGCTTCAGTTTTTGCGGACTCCCATTCCTCATAAGTCCTCTGGGAAACCCAGTCCAAGATGTTCTGCGGCCGCACACTAACCCTCAAATAGGGATGTGCCTCATAACTGACAATCAACATCGGCCGTCCATTCAATTTAACCTCCCCTTCAATAATCCCATCCTTATCATGGACAGGCATGACTGTAACAGGAGCCAGCGGTGGGCCGGAGCCTGGAACGTAGATAGGTCGTTCTGCCACGACGAAGTCGAAGGTGAAGCGTTGTTTCCGACCACCTTTCTGGCGGCCGGGTCGGCTTGAATCTGTGAAGGCATTTAGAAACATGGCCTCTTGGAGAAGAAGATGGGAAGAGGCCTGTTGGGGGGCGGTGTCCCATCTTCCGTTGAGGTTGTGAAAGTGAACGCGTGAAATGCACTTACGGGATCTTGATACGCGATCGGCAAAGGACTACGGTGAGCCGATCTCTGACATAACCGCAGTCACGTGTCTGATACTGAAGAGGAGGTTGAGGTGCTGTGGTTGTCAGGAGTTGAGGTGAAAACGTGGTTGAAAGAAAGATCAGGGGAGAGAGACTAAAGGACAAGTCAAGGAGAAACTGAGATAGAAGAAGTGAATAAGGGGACGCTTGGGGTCTTTAAAGAAAAGTAGAGCTTTGATAAAGCCCTGCCAACGTGGAATATCTCAACCTAATGTGCTTCCATAAATTCGTTGTAGAGGAAGAAGAGGAAACCGACAAAAGAAGTTTTCAAATATATGCATGTAATGAAGTGAATCAGAGAAATCGAGTTTTACTTTGCCTCGCAAATCCTGATTGGCCGATAGCCGCCTCTAGCGCCTCGAAACTTGAAGCTCCGAATTCCCACGCGAGAGACATCAACATAAGATCCCTCTCACACCACCACCAAAACCCCAGAACGAATTCAACATGCTGGGAGCAGCACCAACTCTGCGCACAGCAGCTATAGGCTGCCGACTCCAACCCACTCTCCTTTCGCCCTGTGCATACCACACAACATCCCCGAGCTCTCTTCGATCTACAGACTCCTCTTCCCACCCGAGACGACGAGTACCCCTCTCAAAGGCAAAGCGCAATGTAGTATTCAAGCCCTCAACATCAGTGACCTCAATTCGTCATGCGTCCTCAATCAGCACGCCTCCTCCCCACGAAACCTCCACCACAAGCACCCAAAACGTCGACCACTTGGACTGGAACACCTTCTTCAAACTCCGCAAGACACGCCGATGGTACCAACTGGGCTCCTCAATCGGAACTGGACTGGGCGGTTTTGTTCTCGGTGCTCAGGCGCTCACACGTTCCGACATGGACGCTCTCGTCTCCCAAATACCGCTCGATCCCTTCATCACACTCGGTCTCATAACCTTCACTTGTGGCGGAATTGGCTGGCTTACAGGCCCGATTGTCGGTACCGGTGTCTTCAATCTGAGGAATCGGAAGTTTAAGGCGCAGATGGATGAGAAGGAGAAGGAATTTTATAAGAGGATTAAGAGGTTTAGGGTTGATCCGAGTGCGAGCAGTATGGCGAATCCGGTGCCTGGTATGTTTTTCACTTTTTCAAGAGAGAGAGAGAAGAACGTGATTACTGATTATGTGTAGATTATTACGGCGAGAAGATCTCAAGTGTAGCCGGCTATCGACGATGGCTGAAGGACCAACGGGCATTCAACAAGAAACGGACGACGTATATCAACTACTAGACTGATGAGCAAGAAGAACGGATGGGCTGATTGATAGGAATACGGGAAAACAGGCATGCGAGTCTCTTATGTCAGGGATGGGACGGGTATTTCGCGAGTCAAAAACATACTGCGAACATGGCGTTTGTTGATGATCATAAGCCTCTCCCTTGTAGCAACAGGCATCTTACCCGTACATAACGTACGGTGAAATACCAATTCTCTTTTCAACACCGTCTCATTCAGTATTCGGGCCAGGAACTATCTACTTGCTTTTTCCACTCTTTGAGTCCGTCTTTTATGTCCCCGATGTAGCGTCCGTCTTTATCCAATCCGATTTCCTTGAGTTTCCTGACAACGATCTGAGAGTCATTTCCTAGTCTGCAGACAAGGTATATTGGTGCATTTGTGGGCAAGGTCTGCGGGATCCAAAGAGGCTTCTCGTCAGCTGCCAGCGCTCGATTCCCCTGCAGTGTGGAGAACGGGACGTTAACAGACCCCTCGATGCTGCAAATATCAAACTGCACCTTCTCCCTAACATCCACCAACAAATGATCCTTTCCCTTCCCCCCGTTCAAAACCCTCTCATACTCCCTCGCCTCAATCCTCTCCTGTGGCTCCAAAATTTTCACGGGAGTCGTAACCCCACAAAAAAGTACATAATCCAAACTCCCACTGCTCAAGCTCTCAAGTGTTAATCCTCCCTCCTTCGAACAGGCAAAGCACTTTTGTCTCCTAGCTCTCAACCTTACACTTCTGAATGGCGGGTTACTGTTTGCAGAGAAAAGTAGCATGCTCGCCTCCCCTGCTTTTTCTCCTTCTCTCGCTGTGAGCTTTCCAGCGGCAATTAACTTAATGGCTTCCAGCGCCTGCAAAACACCCATTATCCCCACGACCGGTCCCAAAATCCCTCCATCGCCACAACTGACAACGCTCTCAGCAGGCGGTGGTTTAGGGAAGACACAGCGATAACAGGGCCCACCCGATGGATCACCGTGTGGTAAAGGAGGAGAGTTGAGAACGATGAGCTGTCCGTCTGTACGCAGTGCTGAGGCAGATATGAGGGGTTTGTGGAGAAGGACGCAGATGTCTGAGATGAGGTAGCGGGAGGTTGGGTGGTCGGTGCAGTCGAGCACGACATCGTAATTTTCCACAATTTCTTTCGCGTTTTGAGGACTCAGATGCTCATTGTGGGCAATAAATCTTACATTTGGATTCAGACTACATGATTTGTTAGTATTATGGATGAAAAAAAGCGAGTGTGAGAATACGAGGCGAGGAATTCAATAGCACTCTCTACTTTCTTCATCCCAACTTTCGCCGTGCTATGTAATATCTGTCGGTGCAGATTCGATGTTTCGACTATATCTCCATCGACGATACCGATGGTTCCTACACCTGCACCGGCAATATACGCCGCTGCAGGACATCCTAGGCCGCCCGCTCCAACGATGAGCAAGGAGGCTGCTTTCAATCTGAGCTGGCCTGGAATTTCATCAGCAAATTAAAATGAAGACACTCGAGGGCAAATCACCTTGAATCCCAACATTAGGAACAATCATCTGCCTCCCATACCTCTTATACTCTTCCAGCTCCAGAGGCCAATTGCCCTGAGTCACGAGGCCAGGCTTCTCTTGCATCGACAACCGGTTCAAATCCTCCGCCTCTTTCGCCTCAACAGCAGCCAATTGCTCCTTCAACCTTCCCAACTCTTCCTCCGTAGCTGCAATTTGGCTCCTCAGAATCTCTGCACTTGACGTTGCTTTATCCATAATTCCTTGTAAGTTGTATGCCGATACTGGTGAAAGTTATGAATTCGCTTCATAAAAAGGGCGGCTCGGAAAACCTTCCTTCCCCAGATTTTCGGCTCGCCCCGTTTTAATTTTCACGACCGTACTTCTTCAAAAGCTCCAACTTCTATTGTACCACCCCAATTCTACCAGTAGTCGTCAAGTCACTGAATAACCTGGAGAATCTGCAATCATGGTAATTTTCATACCTGCTCCAGCTCTGGAAAGATAGAAGCTAACGGAATCAAAGGCGCCGACAGCATCAAAAAAGCGCCCCTCAATCCGCTCCAAATCCTCAAAATCAGGATCAGGAATGATCGCACGCCCTTCCACCTCCTCCAACCCCCCTAGTTCCTCCAATCAATCTACCTCGCCGAATCCACCCGCCGAAATATCCTTCATCAACAGCAAGAAAGACCGCCGCACAATAAAGCACTCTGCCTTCATTTCGCGAATCGAGAAAGCCTCCAAAAAACCACTGAAACGCCGACGTCCGAATAAAAAGCTCGTTACTACGCTTGAAGGACTGGCTGATGCTTTGCCTTCAGTGGATGAGTTGGTAAAAGGAGGGAAGGGTGAGTTAGGTGTAGGGAAAATGGGTGGAAGAAAGGGGAGTCTGAAATCTAAGCCTGGAGCAATGAAGAGGAAAGAGAAATTGGAAAGGGGCGAGAGGGAGAGATTTGGCAGGAATCTTGCGGCGATTATGGGGAGTAGAGCAGTGGAAGAGGAGAAGGCGAATGGTGTCATGGCAAAGAATGTGGAAGTTGAGAAGGGGACGGACAGATTGGAAGAGAAGAAAAGCGAGGTTGTGAAAGGACGTTTTGCGGCGTTGAGGGCGTGGGTGGGAACGAATATGGAGAAGCATCCTGCGTTTGAGAAAGGGAGCGAATGAGCCTGTCATATCTGGGTTGTTTGTTGGTATGTTTGTCTGTTCATTATACCCATTTGCGTCTTTGTCACAATTTTCCTCAAGAAGCGTTTCCACTTTTAAACCTCCTGTTTACGAGTCTGCACATTCATCCAACAACGTTCTAACACTCGCGATAGCACCGCTACAAAACGTCCTCATCTCACCACGATTCTCCCTGCCAACATCCTTGCCATCCGCTCCACCATCAAAAACCTCAACGCTAAACCAACACCTACTTCCCGTCCCCAACACCGCTTTGGCCATTTCCACACATTGCTTCGTATACCTCCTACTATTAAAAGGATACGGGCGGAAATCATGGGACCATCGCCCCCTCGGCCTCAAGCCCCCGATCTCCTTATCCTCAAACGGAACCGTAGGCTTATACGCATCCGAGATCTGCAGCAGGTAGGTCTTCTCCTTCGGCACCGTCCTGCTCAGAGTGGCCAAAGAGTACCTGAAATTATTTTCCAGCTTCTGCTGCAAGCCCTGGGATTCAATGAGTCCAGAAGAGGAGCACGGATCCGCGTATTCGGAGCCAACAGTCTGGAAGGTGTCAAGACACAATCCGATATTGGGACGATCGACAAGCTTCACGATCTCCCAGACGAGAGACCAGGTTGGTGCGTGGGATGCCCAGCACCAGTTCTCATACGCCAACCTATAACCGTGGGGAGCAAGCATATCTGCCAGCTCTCTCAGATCCGAAGCAAGGACATTGAGGTCAGCGCTGATATTAGGAGAATCTGATGAGCCGACCTGTCACTTCTGTTACCTCTGGATTCGGATGAGGAAAGATGAGAAGAGAAAAGGAAATAAATCACCTGCAGCATATCCGTTCCCACAGCCCGCATAATCCTAATCCAGCCCCCCGCCCTCGCAAATGCGTCCTCCCTCTCTCTGCTCCCCTTCTCCCAGCCCTCAAAGTTCGAGAAAGGCTGCAGCATCATAATCCCCAATCCATACCTCTCACACAACTTCTTAACTTCACTCCCCGCTACACACAAGTTCTCATAATCATCTTCTCTAATTTCTTTCTTGTGGAAGGAGTGGGCGAAGGATAGCAAGTCCGGAAAGCCAAGCTCGATGGCGCGGAAACCGGCGGAGGAGATGGCTTTGAGCTTTTCCTCGAGCGGATCGCCCGGTGTCCCGACGGAGACCGATGCGAAGGACAGAGGGATTGCGTTGAGAGAGGTGCGAGATATGGTCATTTTTGGGGGTAATTAACGGTCAATTGATCGTTGCGGAAGAGGTGGGGACATGTAGACGTGAGGGTTTCCATGACGTATGCATGACTGGAGAATGAGCACGTGATGGGTGGCATTGTGTTCTGGAGTCCTGGGGGAACCGGATTATTGTATTCTGGGAGTATTAGTAGTGTGAGTGTGTCTTGAAGATGCAAGTATGATACTGCTATTACGTAAGGAGAGAAATGTGGCTTTCTGATATAAAGAGCCTCCAAGAAGCGACGACTTGGGCGAGCGCCGCCCCCAAGCTAGAAAAAAGAGAATTGTGTTACTCGAGCAAGCTCATGCCCATGAACCATTTGCTTGCACCGGGGAGGGGAGTTTGGACGTGGCTTCAAGCCATTGATTGGTAGTTCGTATTCCATCAGCTCGTAATATCTCTTTTGCCACCGCAAGTGAACCCCTGATTCTAGCAAAGCAATGCTATCTTTTTTTCTTTCTCCCGTTCTCGCCCTATCCCATCCCACCCCACTTCATATCGTAGCAAGCATAGCGATCGTATCATAGCCATCCATCATCTCAACCCCTTTTCCCTTACCCCTCACTCCACACTCCACCAATGCACCCATTCCCCCACTCCAAAGCAAAGCAAAACAATTCCCATCCCATCCATCAAGCATATAAAAAACGCCATGCGCCCCGCTAAACACCCATCTCTCTCTCTCTCTCCCCGCTAAAACGACGAAACGAGGAAGCGTTATGAGTCGATTCTAGGAGGAGACCGGGAGTCCGTCTTGCCTTTTGCAAAGGGTGAGGAAGAGCGAGAATCTTCGTATCTGTGCATTTCCTAGTTCAGCAATATTATCTAGAAAAGGGGAGAGCAATATATGGAAAGGGTGAAATGAGAAGGGGAATTTTGAAAATGGGAAAGCAAAGGGGGAAAAAAAGGGAAAACTCACGACCGTCTCCTCTCCCCCTCCTTCCTAAACCCCTCAATTGTCTTCAACATCTCCTTGCGCCCCCCACTCGCATCCACCAACTTGCCTCCCATACTCATCGACACCTTCTCCCTCGCATTGGCGCTCAACAGCCTCTTAAGCAGCAAATGCCGCATCTGGATACAAACGTACACGCCGCAATCACTGCTATTCTCCTGCTGCGGACTATCCTCCAAATTCATGAACCTAAGCGGCCTATTCAACAGCACACTAATCTTATCCGTAGCAAGCCTCGCCTCATTGTAATTAGAAGGGGTCAGGGAATCGTAGTGGAAGGCTACACCGTCAATGACCGAGACGAGCAGGAGCGACCAGTGGCTGCCGCCTTCGGCGACGGATACGTTGCGCGCGTCGTTTATGGGAAGGAAGATGTGTGTTGTGCGGGAGAAGTTGGGGAGGGCGTCTTTCAGGGTGAGCGGGTCGGGCGTTTGCATGAGCATGAAGGCCATGGAGGGGCGGAGGAGGACGATGTGGGAGGAGGGGTATTTGCGAAGTTCTTCGCGCTCCAGGTATCTTTCCTTGTCAGTAGAATTCGTGTGAGGTGTGGGAGGGGAAGCCACTCTTCCCAGAAGGCAATTGTCTACGAAGCATACGTTAGCAGGCAGAGGGAGCAGAGGGAGAGATGTACATTGTCAGTCAACCAGTCATTCTTCAACGTATCGACATCCTCTTTCGTCACTATATCCACCCATCAGTCCCATGCCCCTGGCAGCCTTCTCTCTACAGTATTCAACTCACATCGAACATCATAGTCTGCCAAGCCGTATTAGCCCTCTTCTCTCCCCTACTTTCCTCTATCTTCAGGCAGACAAGGAGGATACTCACAACTAAGATATGCATCATCCGGCGCCAACTGTTTCCAATCCCTTCTCATCAGCCAGTGTCTTGAACGTAACCTCATCTCCCAGAGCATGCCGGTGAGCCTGCAAGCAAAAGGGCGCAGCCAACGGACGAGGGGGTCGAGAGCCCCAAGAAGAGTAGAGAGCTCCCTCTTTCCTCGCAAATATATTCAACAAAGAGGGATACGCACCGAATCCCCGAAGTGCCTGCTAACCCTGCCTTTAAAAGGGTGGAAGCCTCCTTCGCGCACCATTTTCTTTTTCCCTCCGCAGCTGCAGGGCGTGCCGCTCGCTCTCGACGTGGGGTGTGAGGCTGTGGTCCGGTCTGGCGTTTCTCCTCGCCCGACGTCGCAGTGTAGCTAGCCTTCAATTCGACGAAGTGAAAAGGGAAGAGAGAGAAGAGAAAAAAGAAAGGGAGGAGACCGTGATTCACGAGTCCGCAGGGTTGTTGAAGGGGACTCGTTGAGTTGTGGGGAATGGACCAAGGTCTCGGTCCGGCATCTCTGGGACGTCATTTCGAGTGTGCAGGGGCTGGAGCTGCCTGATTCAGCCTCCGGCGCGCTCTCGAGCCCGCGACGACATGCATCTCTTTGGAATATTACATGTATATTTGGAATCTCACGAGGACAATTGCACATGATTCACCCTTCACAGTTACACAGTATCAAGTGATCAGGGCTCGTCTCGTTCATTCAGATACCTGCTAAGCTATTGATCATCGTTATTGCAAGACCTGGAATCGCTCAATGAAGTCGCGAGTCTGCAAATCTTTCTCCCCACATTCAGCAACCTGCACAGTCATCGGGTTTGTCCATACAGCAAGATATCGCAACATTAATACCATCACTATCCGACGCACAATTCAGCAATGGAGCCAATGCCACAACCCCCCCCCCCCCCCCCCCCCCACCACTCCTCACCTCGAGCCCCTTTCCGAATACCGAACCCTCAAAGTTCAGAAACCTTCCGACTTTCGGAAATCTCATCACGAATTGCGTCCTGTCTCTTCCGCCATCCACGTTCGAATTGGGCGGTTGAGTTCTCCTTAAGGTCCTTCACAGTATCCATAACGAGCTCCCTCGCGTCGGAATATATAGACACCATCTCCGCCCTCTTCTGGTTCAGGGCATCGACAACGGCAACCCTCTCGTTCTCGTGTCGTTGTTCGAGCTTACCGAGAATCTTGCCGCCTTCCTCCTTGTATTGCTCTACAAGAAGTCCCACCATATCTTCCTCGCCTTGCAGACGGAGGATAACTTCCTGTAATAACTATTAGTTTTGTCATTCTCGATTTGAGATGGAGTACTCACATCAGCGATTCTGTGGACAGCCTCATGGAGGTTGGTATAATGTGGTCTGATGGCAACATTCCACACTGCACTGGCACTTGGTTTTTCCTTGGGTGGCGTTCGGTCGGACTCACTGGATTGAGATTCGTATGAGGTACCCGTGGTCATCTCGCTGAGCATTGATGGATCAGATGCCTGGTTTTTAATGTCAACACAACTTCTCTCGCGAGGGTCAATACGCTGTATTCGCCGAGCGGGTTTAGGATGAAGATTTGACTTTGATGCTCCTCGCACATGCAATGGGAAGGCAGGTTCGACATCCTGGCCCTTTCTCTTCCCGGTCATAATAACCTCGCCCGGCTGTGAGACTCCAGCTTGCTTTCCCGTCGATGAGCCACTCATCAGACGATCAGTAAAGCCGCTCGACTTTCGAGCCTTCTCAGTGAACGGATCGTGAACCTTCTTTTCTGCTGCAACGACTTGTCTAGTAGCAACTTCTTGATAGACACCATCTGCAGTCTTCTCATGGGCAACATATCGAGCAGCGGCCTCCTCTGGAGAGGAGTTTCGTGCCTTTGACTTCTTCTCCAACACCACTCCCGGTCCAAATACCTCGGAAAGTCTGCGTTCTTGAACGGTGACAGGAGTCTCGAATACAGTAGAAGGCGGAACTTGCGATTTGTTACTATTTCTGTCTTGCCCAAGTCTCTTTCGAAGTTTACCGAAATGGTCTTCCTGAGATGAAGCAATTGGACTGCCATTCTTATCGACTCTTGATGTTTGAGAGCTGGGCCGCGTTGGGGGTTTCGTGCTGCGTCGATCGCCTGTGGAGTTTGCCTTGATTGCTTCGGCCGGCGGACTGTCTTGGAAAGCTGGGAGATCATCATCCCCATACGCATAGTCATCCATAACAGCACTCTCCCTAGGACTGACGCTTTGACGCTTATTTGGCAGACTCTCAGTATCTACGACATCAAGTCTCTCTCGCTTTCTCTTCTTCTCTCCGACCTCCTCACGAGCCGGCCTAGGTGCCTCTTCGGGAACATTCTTGATCGAAGCGCGATTCGTGCTAGCCGATTTTGCTGCTTCTTCAGATATATTATTGGGGGAATGGGGGTCCTTGCGGACCTTGATCGTGCTAGAAATTCCTTGATTGAGTGCACCTCTAGTACCAAAGCTTACCAGATGTGGTTTACGATCTGGATCCTTGGCTGCTGAAGTTACATCGGAAGTAGCCTGCCGAAGAGAGTCTGTTGCTTGTCTTGCTCGATCTATCAGCCGAGGGCTTCTTCGAGGCGAGGCAACATTCTCGATGGACTTTCGCGACTTCTGTGTCTGCTTGGGAGTTCGCTTTTCTCTGACCAGCGGGCTCGGTGGTGCTCTAACTGGAGGGCTTGATGGTAATGAAGCAGCTGGAGAGAGTTCTTTTGGACGATCCTGGCTTTCATCAACGCGTTGTCTCTTGGGGGGTGTTGTTGCAGCCAAATCGGTCTTGCGCTTTCTTCCGATCTCGCCAGTGTCCGAGCAGTCGCGGGTTGATTCCATTGGAGCATCCTGTTCTGCTTCAACAATGACCTTGTTGGTGAATTCACTGGTTGCCACGTCCTGTTTAGGCCCCTCATCTGTGCCCAACTCACTTAGCCTACTCTTAGATGTCGATGGTTCCTTCTCATCGGGACGAATGGGCGCCTTTTTGTGATGAGTTGGAATATCAGGCTTCTTGAAGATCTTGTCATCATTGGCCTTAGACTTCTCTTGTGAAACTGATTTTGTTGGCTGCTCGGGAGCTGGAGGTGACGCATTAACATGCTCACGCTCTGCAGCCGGCGAAGAAGAAGAGGAAGAATCCGAAATCTCCCATATGTCAATGCCAGGGATCTTTGATGTACCGGCCACTGCCATGGATTTATCGCCTGCGGACTTCGTAGACTTTGTATTTATGGGCAATTCCTCGTTATCAGTCTTGGTTGGCTTTCGCTTTTTCAGATCAGCAGATTGCTCGAGTTCCTTCCCTACACCGGAGTTTCGAGGCCCGGTCTCGGGTGGATTATCGCTCATGTCTCCAAGAATATCCCCCAACTTAGAAGCCATGTCTAAAGCGGAGTCTCTCTTGTTCCTATTGGGAACCCTGGAAGCCTTCGCGAGCTCTTCGCTGTCCTTGACTACAGGCTGCAGCTCTGGGGGTAAAGATTTCTGTGATGGTTTCTTTGGAGTGGTGTCATAAATATTGTCAGCATCTACTCGATCGATGCTATCGTTCTGGACCGGGCTCGGGGTTGTTTCGTCCAGTCGTGGTAGCGGCAACATATCCTCCTCTTCGGGGGTAGGAGCCACCTCGTTGTTGACTGCCTCCTTCGATGCAACCTTCATCTTCATGGCATCTCGTCCTGGGTTTGTCTTGCCCTTTTGGGAAGCCTGAGATTTGGCTGGTGCTGGCTGGTCGTCGACTTCGGCATCCTCAACGTCGCTCTTATCAGCACCTCGAAGTTGCTCAGATGCCTTGGCAGCTGCTGCCCGTTGACTATGGCGTGTTCCAGCAGGTCTTCCAAGGGCTGCAGGTGCAGATTGTCGCTTCTTTGCATCCGTCTTGGTTCCAATCTCGCTCGCAGTCTTCGCCGATGGTCCAGCCTTGGGAGCCGACTTTCTTCCATTTGCCGGCTTCTTGCTTTTGGCCTCTTGGGGAGCTTCATCCTCGTCGCCGTCCACAGGGATATCATATGTGTCGGCAGCGCTCGGCGTAGTCTTTACACGCGGGTGCAAAGAATATCGCTTTTGCTTCTGACTCGCGGTGCCAGTAAAGTCAACTGATTTGCTGGTCTGCGTATTGGATGTTGACGCTGCAGGTGTCTTCTTGCGAGCTTGGCTTTCTGCCGCTGTAACCTTCGGAGTCGATGCATCCATTCCATGATCATCCGTAATAAAGTCATCGCTGAACTCTTGGTACTCGGGATCCTTGCTGGTCTTCGAGGGTTTGGCTGTTCCCTGGACACCAAGTTTGCTCTTGTTTGCCTCCATTGATTGACTCGGAGCATTCTGTGACGAAGAGGTACTCGGCTTGGTTGAATGGCCCGAAGTTTTCCGAATAGCTCTTGAGAGAGCCTTTGGTTTCTCAGAGACCTGCGAGTCTACAATATCGTCCGTAACTTGGCTAGATTGAGTAGTTCGTGTCTTGCGATTTGGCTTCTTGGGAGGAGGCATCTTTGGTTGACCATTGGATGGACCTTTCTTTGCTTGGTTCGCGGATGCACATTGAGCAGCGCCAGATTGTACAGGATCTGCTTGGGTGGTAGTGAGCGAGCTAGTTTGGTCCTTCTTCCCACGGGTCCGGGCCGGTGGTGCAGCGATAGCCTCCTGAGTCGACGGTTGGCTGGGCTTGGCTCGGAGGTCGCGTTGGAGGATAGGAGGTTTTGCCTTCGGCTTGACACCATTGGAACCTTTGGGAGGCGCCCTCGATTTTGATCCTGATTCCTTCGATGCTGGTGTGATTTTGGAAAGATCCTTCGTAGTTTGTGGAGCTGTCTCGTCATCCTTTTCATTTCGCGCATCTGGGATAATTGCATCAACCAAGTTTTGCACCTCATCTTCATCCATATTTCTTTCGGTATCGTCTTGCTCTGCTTGTATCTCGTGGATAGAATCCCTCCTCGGTCGTTGTTCTTGGGATGTCTTTGGTGAAAGTTGCTTCAGCTTTTGCTTTCCATCTGCAGCATCATCCATGAAGTCTTCAGAAACGGAAACTTGGGATGGCGGCTTCTGCTTATCCGAGTTGGTGAGCTTGAGAGCAGCTTCCTTGTCCGTTTGAACGACCTTCAAACCCGGACATTTGCTAATGAGCTCTTCCTTGAAGTCCTCCATGTTCTCCGGCTGGAAAGTCAAGTAAATACGGTTCAGTTCAATTCTCTCCGAGTCCAAGAAAAACTCATGTCCCTTGCCCATCCTGAACTCGAGGCCAATTTCTGCAGCAACCTGCGAGTACTCGTCTGTGATAATGGTTACTGCCTTGATTGAACGCACAGGAATGTCCAGGATCTGGTCGAAGGACCCTGACTGAGCAGGTGCCAGTATGCTCATCTCATAGTTGTTGTCTTCCGCCTCGTGCAGGAAAACATACTTGGTATGGCCCTGGATACCAAACCCGTTTTCCGGGCGCATGGCAATGGTGTTCGCGAACCAGAGGGTGCCGATTCTAGCTGTGTGTTAGAAGATTACCTCTACCCCAGAGAGGGCTTACGTACGTTGAGGGTTCAATAAGGCCTTTGTCGAATAAATCATCCACGTACTTCTGAAAACATCCCCCCCACCCAAATCCATCTTGAGTGGACGGCGGGAAATCGGTGTACACCTCTTCCTTACAGTCTACAGGGAACAAGTCTTCAAGCGGAATATCAGCTTTGAGCAAAGTTCGGAGGAGCTGGGCATAGATTAATCTCAAGATTTCATCAACCTCTTCGATGACTGCCCGTCCAATGTTTCGTCTGTGCTTGCGTCAGCGATGCCGATATCCACAGTGTCGAAGAGGTTCCCACCTGTAATCTTCCGGGCCAAATTCCATCCATTGGCAGTTCTCCTTGCAATCTGAGAAGAGTTGCACACATAAAACGCCAGCCTTCGCGCTGGTTAGCTAGGTATGCACTGGAAAGACAGAACCGCTTACCCATCTTCGCATTGTCGGAGCAGTTTCCTCGTCGATGAAGTATCTCAGTAATCGCTGACGACATTCTCGTCCTATCTTGCCCTTTCTATTCTCCACGACAACTTTGTTCTCGGGGTCCCGGGCATCATCAAAGAGCGATTTCTGTTTCGTCAGCATTGTTATATCCGCTTGGAGTGGAGGCAAGGTGCTCACTGCAAGGAGAAACAGGCACCGCTCGCCTTCGATGCACGGTTCTGACTGCAAAACCAGTTCCACAATGGTGCAGAAAATTGAAGGATCCAAGCGACTGCAGATATTGTCTCCATCGTTCTCCAGAGATCCCACCACTAAAGAAATGATTGGCGAATCGAGTATCTTTTTGGCCTTTCGGTAGTCGGAAAGAAACTCCTTGAGTCTAGTGATAATGCTTTGTGCTCTGAATAATGTTAGTGGGCATTGAAGAACTTGCAGAGAATTTTACTCACTTGATCTCTCCATCCTTTTCCTTAGCATTGGCAATGGCACTGCAGAGTTTCGTGACCGCAGCCTCGAATGGTTGAGGTTGAGAGGACCCAAGCGAAGTTCGCTGGGAAGATTTCGGAGGCATGACGACGACTTCTGCAGCGATGTTAGCAACAGAGATATCCATTCAATGCGCGTTCTTGACGTGCTGAGTTGGTGTTTAGCGTGGCTTGACGAGTAGCTTAGGGAGACTTGTCGGCTTTGCCCTGCTGAATATCACAGCCTCGCGCTGCCCGAAGGACAACTCGACGCGGCGATGCGCTTGTTCTAGACGTGATATTATTCTTGTCAGCTCGGACGCCAAGATTTCATTGAGGGTGAGGTCATGCGAAAGGATGCAGAGTTGAATGTTTGATACTGCCCCCTTCTCCCGTAGACTCGCATCCGCGGTTTGGAGATTAGGGAGAACGGTGATGCTTACGTTGAAATATATCCGTATTATCTAGATATCGATCAAGGGAAATCGAGAATCAGATGAACTATAGTTCCATCATCGTGGTGGCTTCGCGTTGATGATGGAGGAAGATGTTGGAGGGGAAGAGCGGGACGCGAAGTCAAAAGTTTGTCGCGAGCGAACCGGGTACTGCTGCACGCAGTCACATGACTGGAACCAACACGAGAGACGAAGCTCGTCATTCCACCAACCGCCGACTTCCACATAATGACCCTCGAGCAGCAGTTTCTGCCTTCGCAATGATGCAAAACCATCCAGAGATTGAATTCAAGGTTATATGAAACGCTGTAATAAGGCAAGGACATTGAACGAAGGACACAAAGTCTTTGTGCAACTAACCTTCTCCGACGCCTAGTACTCTATGAAGCGGAGCTTAAATACGGCTGCAATACTCACCCCAATGCTTTCTTCTTGATCCAACTATATCCTTCTTGGATCAAGATTCTCGAAATAGTGTGGTGGGGATTTCTCTCTCCTGGTCACATGACCTCGCCACGTGACCAGGAGAGAGAAATCCCCACCATAATAATCTCGATACTAAGGGGATGATTATCTATCCCCGTTCATTACATATTGTTGAGTACGTTAAGTTACCTCTCATGTTCTCGCTTTAGGTCTAAAAAGGGGTTGAGCCGAGGAAGGAAGCGAAGCCACTCCAACAGTAGACACTCCTTATTCCAATAGTTACAAAAGCAGTAGAGATCTTGAATATCATACTCGTGAAACTCAACCTTGGTTAGCAGGATATAATTGTGATAAAATTTCGCAATTAGAAACCCCCTCTTGCAGTCGACAGAAAAAGCGCCACTCTTTTTCAATATCCCTTGCACAAAGCTGCATATTTAACTATATGTTGGAATAGAGGCTTAAGGAAGTAAGTATTCGAGGATTTCTATGACATTTGAAAAGGTAAATTTTGAATGAACTAGAGCTCAAGGGCACATTCTGTGGGAGAATGCCTAAAGTGATCTAACTTCAACTTGGGGGATTCAGTGCTGCTTTTTCTGTCCACCACGAGCCCCTGAGCGATGGAGTTAGATTTCAGGGGTAGCTTCAGGCACCACTGACGCCTGCACGGTCGCTAAACCTGCGCTATGAGCTCATCCGATGTCAACTCCAAGCTTTCGCTTCGTGTTCTTCAACATAGACTCGGTATCGAAGACATAAATACTGAATGAATCTAAAAACCGATGTCTTTAATGATTCCTCATCACTGGCCTGGCCTGAAGTGATGGCACGTGCCCGCGCTAAACGAATCACAAACGCTGCGTTAATTCGGACAACACATAATTGACGCGCCTCGCCCATCACAACACATCTTTCTCCCTGGAGTCTTACGGTTTCTGCAGCGTTATTGTCTCCTAGGCTTGCTATTCTACACGATGTCCGAGTCCCCTGAACCCGAGCTCGAGCGCGTAAGTACGCGCCACAAGTTGGGACATTTGCTGTGGGCCCTCCAACCCCTCTTCGTAAGCAGCTGTCTGACCCCTTCCAGACACCACACCTGGGATAAAGGTAAAGAAAAGAGCATAGAGGGTCTACACATTGGCAAGGAGAGAGGCATCGAAGGACTGCATACAGGGAAAGAAAGAGCTATCGACGGGTTGTTGAAAACGAAGCTATCACTCGAACACAAACTCGGTCTCGGCCACAAACCCAACGTCGTACCCCCAGGAGAAGCGCGAATCGATGACGAGCTTCGAACAGTTGAGATTGGATGGCACCCTGTCGCAGGAATGGCTGGGAACTGGTTCGCAGAGAAATCTGGCCTGGGGAAGATGATCACCGATCACATTGGCGGATACCCGGATCCTACACAACATTGGGCAGTTCTCGTTGGAGATTACGTGCACGAGCTATGGATGGACGAAGATCTGGATGTGATCTATATCAATGAAGTGCTTAACCGGGAGGAGTGGCATACATTCGAGGTTGGAAAGACGAGATTCACGGACGAGGCGTTGAGGCAAGCCGGTCAGTATGCATTGATATCACCCTGACATTCTGGTCTGAGATTTTGTCCTATCCAGGCGAAATGGTGATCCACAACATGAGAGAAAAAAGGAAGGAGTACAATGTGATTAGCAACAACTGCCAGAATTACGCAGTTGCTATGCTGGATGCTATACAAATCGGAGCGCATGTTGAATTCGCAACGAGCTTTGCTGTCTATCAAGCAGCGACAGGAAATGGCACGATCAAAGAATTATTTGCGGACAAGCACCCTGAGGAACAGAAGATTGAGCCAGAACGCCCGGGAATCCATCGTACGGATACTGTGCAGAATGCTCAGCAGGTTATGGAAGAGCATACCACGAAGATAGACAACCATAAACAGCTCTTCGGGTAGGAGTGTACGAGTTGTTACTCCAGGTGTTCAAGACCGCAGGTGTTCCGGGGAGCAGAAATAGCGCGTAGGTTCGGGCGATGCTTGCTAATCATGTATGTAAATCGCGACTCGACAGGTCTCGACAGTTGTCAAGCCACATCTGTCAATGTATTCGGGTACTCGAGAAGTCACTTAATGGACTTAACAAGAGGTCATAATCAGCTGTTATTGGTTCCCTCTAAGCCAATGACATTCTGGGATGCCCCATACAGAAGCATCGTCAGCTTGCGAGTTTCCGTTTACAATCATCCCCCCTCCCTCCACTTCTCCTCACTCACTTCTCTCTCCCGTAACCTGGTCGGACTTTCTGCCCAGTTTATTTGGTCCATGCGAGACCATGACCTAGCCCTCCTCTCCTTTCAGTCCCTTGAAAGGGTTCTTCTGTGGAAGGCTCAGAGCAATGGTGAGAATATCCTTGATATGGTCCTCGTTCGATTCCTGGGTCAGTTCCTCTTTTGTCTTGCTCACCAGATCCTGACGCAAAATCTCCCACTTCTCATCGCTCGCCTCCCCCTCTGTCTCGATACCAACGAAGTTCTCCTCGATTAATAGCTCCCCGGTTGAACGATTCATCTTGACCAGACACTTTATCGTTTCCTCGAACGTCTGCTTGATCGGTTCCTTCATGATTTCTTTCCGCCATTTCTGTATGTCTCCGTATGTCATTGCCTTCTCCATGATTCGTTGCTTCGCCTTCGCAACGTTTTCCTTCGTTCCAAAGAATCCAATCTCAAGGGGTCGTCTTCGACGAAACGGGTTCTCGGGAATCGTGATATGGCACTCAGTCCTGCTCTCGAGACGCTTCACGAAAGACCAGTTGTTCTGCTCCAGTCTCTTGATTCCTTCCTGTTTTACGGACATGGTTGAATGTATCCGATAATCTGGTCGTTTAACGATAAGTGAAGCCAAGCTGACAAAATGGAACTTTAGCGGATCCTCGGACCATTTGTACTCCTCGATGCCCATCAGACCGACGCAGCGTCTCATATATTCGACCTCGTACTCTAGATCTTGCTTCTTTGATATCTGATCCTCTGTCATGCAGCTGGCCGTTGCGGGCCGAAATACAATCGATGCGTCGATGGCTCCGACGTCTAGCTGCAAGGAATCCGACTTCACAACGAAGTATACTTCTCTCAATCCAGGACAGCCATTCCATTGCTTCTCTGGGTCAGTGACGGCGGAGGGCCCGTTATCGAAGCCATGCAAGACCCTCAACTCATCAACTACCCTCAGGTAGGGGTGCTCGAGTGTATCGTGTGGGCACTCATACGATCTACACCTCTTTACAACATCTATCGCGACTTGTGGGATCTCTTCCTTGTTCCGACTAGCATGCATGAATGCCCGGATCATTGTCGCAAAGCAGTTCTTCTCCCCAAAGTAGACGATATCCGATTTTGGGTTAAAGTAGATGAAACGTCCTTCATCAGAGTCAAAGGTCCTCATTTCATACACCTTCATCGCCGCCTTCCGAGCCTCGTGATTGACCTGCAGAACCACGTGCGGCAACCTGGACTTTGGACACACTTGATGCTCAGGATGGGTTCCCAGATCAATAGATCCATCACGTGTGGGACATCGCTCGATTTCAATGATTCGAGGGAGATGGGAAGCCCAGTACCATACCTTGCAGCGGAGTTCTGGAACTAGCTTCGGAAAGAGAGTGAATACGGTAGCGGGCACACTAATTTCGTCAGCTTTAGAATGATTGGATCTGCTTCTGTGGCAACGCACTTTGGTAGTTGGTGGATTATTTCGATGTCTAGGTTGTCGTTCCGGTTGAGCGAGGGCCATGGGTTCATGCGGGTTGCCTTTGCACCATTACTAGATGAGGTGTTGGCTGGAGTGCTATTTCTTTGTCAGCTGTGGAAATCTTACAATGAGAGAGATCGCCAGGATGGAGGCATACCGTTGCTTCGAGTGCGAGTCCAAGGACATGTTGAAGACGGCATCTGCGAGAGCGGTCGAAGGGTCGGCCACTGGAGGAGGTCGAGAACCAGATGCACCAGCAAGATCCATTACTGCGATGGGATGTGGTCAATAAACCCTTTTCAAGAACGGATGCTGGAATGATGACGCAAAGGAGACAGATCGGTGGGTTGAAGAGCTCTCTCGATTGAGAGAAACCGCTCGGCGTAAGGAAAGAGGGCGCCCAGAAGTTCCGAGAAGAGGGGGCCTTGACGTTGCGACAGACAAAGTTTGGTGGTTGTGCTGCCGAAAGGTCTGTTCTCCAGTCTTCGACGAGGAATTTATGGAAGCTCAAAACCGATCGATCTGTTTAGATTTCCCAGGAGAAATTTATACTTACGAATTCACCAGTGAGAGGTTTGAGATTCACCTTCAAGACGAATTTCCCTTGAAAAGCATATCCAACTCCGTCCGACCTGGGCCATGGAAATCGATTCATCATGAAGTTGTGGCAGTATCTCACTAATTTTCACCGCCTCCTCGCCATATGCTTCACTTAAAGTCATCATATTGCGAATATTAGGGAGGGTGTACTCGAAAGGGAAACAGCAGAACGTGGTGCAACTAACTTTGAACGTGCGATACCCCTGGCATATGGGTGAGGAAACCAGCCTCCTTCCACGATTCACTGGGCAGTGAACTGCACATGAATCTCTATTCATCGTTGCTTGGGAAAAGCAGGGCCATGGTTAGTAGTTCTGCCAGGAGAAACCGAGGCTTGTCACATCTGTCAATTCTCGCTCTCGATGTCGCGGCCGACGGTCCAATGTGGCAACGCATGAGGGAAATTTGCGTAGACCATCTCGCCTCTCGTGTACAATAACCTTCTCAAAAAGTCAGACATCTCTTGATGGCACTCTTGAAAAACTAATGATTTGTGAGTGAGATTCACCACTCGTATCTCGTCTCTTTTCCCCTTTCCCTTTTTTTCAAGCGAGAGAAATGAGACTCATTCTCGGGTGACCGCTGCCATCTGTGTCGCCTCAATGCACCACAGGCGCATCCATGCTTATCTCAACCCCGCAGTCAAATCCCAAAGAATAAAAAGGCCGGTTCTCAATCGACCGCATGCATAGCACATCTGTGCACACGTACTTCGGCCAATCGAGAACCCAACCCCCACAAACTTTCTACATGGTTCGCTCCCAACCAGATTTAGGTCCAACCCGGAACCTTCATGGCGGTACTTCATCCTGTCGAGATCGCCCCAGGTAATCATAGTAATCATCCAACGAGGTCTAGTGGCGAGTACATATGAAATCTCGGGTAAATACCGGAAACCGCGGGGTATAAACTACTTCCAGGGGTCGTCCCATGGTCGATCTCTGTGGGGTTCTGGTCGGATTAATGGAAAACAATTACCCAGCTCTTGCTTGCCTCAACGCTTTTTAAAAAAAGAGACGGGCGTAATCCGGTCAAGATTGCTCATGGAACCTCTAGGGCAGAGGAGCGAAGTTACGGCGTTGGCTCCAAGTCATCGTCAGAAATCATTCTGTGCTCAAGCCTCTCGGGTCCTCGTTCCTTTGCTCCGAAAGCTTTCGCTTGCCTTGCCAGTGAGGTTCTCGCCTCGCAGTTTATTCAATACTTGGAATGGGTCTCGTAAGTCTGTTTTCGTCAAGATGTGCGTGCTTTGTGGGGACCTCGTATAGCAAAACGGGAAATCAGATTATCACATGACAGGCTAAATGCAATGCTAACATAATATTAAGCACCCATAGGCGTGGAGGTTTCCTCAAAAATGACGCCGCATGCAGCTTCAGCGATACTACCTCGATATTAATCAACTAGGATGATAGTCTAGAGGGTTAGAAACAAAGTCTTTTCAATCAATTCGTTGATGAATCAAAAGTGCTGCCAAGCTGTTGGTAACCAAGTGGCGTCTCAAAAGCTTCCATTTCCATTTACCCCAGACAGCGCTCCCACCGGCCCCAGGCCCGGCGACTAGTGCGCCACTGCAGCGTATCCATGATTCTCGCTGCTTTCAGATTCACGAGCTAATAATAAGCTGTGGGTGCCCCACTTTGCTGGGTGGCAGTTCCATGGTTGGTTGTTAGGATTGATGTCCTCGCTGGTTCCCTCTTTCGGAGAATTTAGTTCAGAGGCGCCTGTGGGCCATAATTGCAGTCTGGAGTACATGAAAAGGATCCAATTCTTGATTTTGACGAGTCTCGACACAGCTCATTCATTGGTCCATGAAACGAGAGGTGGACTACCGAAAGACGTTCACCCCGAAAGTCTGGGGGCGATTGGGATTATCGCAAAGAGACAATTTATGTACTACTGCTTTTGTCAGACAGGTCACAGGCAAGCAGCGGCTCTAGGCTCATTGCTGTCTGTGCCTTTTTTGACAAACCTAAACGGTCATCTTGTGTCCGCTTTCGGCTTAGCAGTTCATCGTATCATAGCTTTTTGGCTAGTCACCGTTCGGCCACTCAGCCGGAGGCCTAACTGTTTCATTCTTGGCCGCCTTGGCAACTCTGGGCCGTGCCGGATGTAGTCATGTGGTTGGCCACGATCCCCGCATTGTTCTACCTTGCAGCACTCAGTTTTTGAGACTTCAGGCTAATCGTCGCTATACATATCTCACTTATTTTCACACTTTCAGAGATCGAAACCAGTTTTTCAAAGTCGACCAGGACTTTGCACCTGCACCAGCAAACCCAAAACTTTGAGTCGTCGAGACGTTACAACCGTCAAAATGGTTCACGAAGGTCTTTCCGATCCTATTCTGACGCACCTGGCGGAGCAGGATCGTACGCCATGGTACAAGAAACCCAATCTCCGGAAAATGTACTTCTTTTTGTTTCTTTGTGCCATGGGAGTAGAGATGACCTCTGGTTTTGACTCGACTTTGATGGGCACTCTGCAATTTTCTCCAACCTGGAACAAGTGTAAATGCCCCGCTTCCTGATCATTCGTACAACCACTTAATCCTCGCAGATTTCGACACCAGCGGATACAAAGATCCTAAGACTAAAAAACTGGCTCTTGAACCGGGACTCCTTGGACTGGTCAACTCTTGTTACCAACTCGGCTCACTCATTGGCATCCCATTCGTTCCTTGGTATAGTCAACTTTTCGGAAGACGTTGGTCGGTCATGACTGGATCTTTGATCATGGTTGTTGGTGCCATTCTTCAAGGCTTTGCCCAAAATCGTAAGTAGCCTTTTGCCACTCTACATGATCACACTCAATACTGACCTCCGTCTAGTTGGGATGTATATCTTCGCTAGAATGGCTCTCGGCTTTGGCATCGTCATGTGTATCGTTTCTGCCTCTGCCCTGATCGGAGAGCTTGGACATCCCAATGATCGTGCAACTTTGACGTCCTTCTTCAACGCTTCATACTTCCTTGGTGCAATCGCAGCTGCAGCAATCGCTATCGCTACTAGCGACATGAAGACTGATTGGAGTTGGCGTCTACCCTCCCTCCTACAGATGTGTCCCTCGCTTCTGCAGATCTGTTTCATCTTGTGAGTATATCCATAAAACTTAGCATGACAGCCCCTCGAATGACAAGTCAATACACCTTCTCTCAATGGAGAAGTCCCCCAAATGAACAAAGTCGACATAACCATCACATTCCATTCCTGAAACACAAGCTGACTTAATTTGCATAGTTTCGTCCCAGAAAGTCCCAGATGGCTTGTTTCTAAAGACAGGTACGATGACGCTCTCGAACTTCTGATCAAGTACCATGGAGAAGGCGACAGGGACTCAGTTCTTGTGCAAGCTGAGATGGCTCAAATCCAATCGACCATCAAGATCGAATTGGAGCACGCAAAACAATCGTGGATGGATATGCTCAGAACCTCCGGAATGCGCCGTCGTGTGATCATCGCCTCCTTCTTGGGTTTCTTCACCCAAATGTCCGGAAATACTCTCATATCTTAGTAAGTACTAGTTCTTTCTTCAGCTCAGCCTAACGGGGTACCGGCACCAAAAGTGCTCCCATTTCAAGGGCCTGGGCTGGAATAGACGCCCCTCCTCAGCGACATGAATTATCCCATTCTAGCGCCCGATGATAGAGGCCAAACTAACAGTCTTCCAGCTATCAAAGCACTTTGTTTAATATGATGGGATACACGACCAATTACGCCAAGACAAGAATCAACGTCGCCAACAACTGCTGGGGTCTTCTTACAGCCAGTTGCGCCGCCATCGCCGTTGGCAGGTTCCCCCGCCGAGCCATGTTCATGACTTCTGCCGCAACCATGTTCCTCATGTTCCTCGGATTCACAGTTGCCATGGAGAAACTGGCAGAAGCGTCAAATGAGACGCCCTCGCGGGTGAACAAGCCGGCAGCACATGCCGCCTTGTTCTTCTACTTTGCCTTCACTCCTTGTTACAACATCGGAAACAATGCCATCACCTACAGTACGATCCTCGTTCCCACATTCATATCAAAAGCTTTGCTAATTGAATCTAGCTTACCTCACCGAACTTTTCCCCTTCGCACAGAGAGCCCGTGGTATCGCCATCGAGCAGGTCTGGGGCAAGATCAGCGGTTTTTTCACACAAAATGTCAACTCCATTGCCATCACTCACATTGGATGGAAATACATGGCCATTATCACAGCGTGGCTCGTCTTTGAGTTCTCATTCATCTACTTCATGTACCCCGAGACTGCTGGCCGCACATTGGAGGAACTGGCCTTCTGTAAGTTCACACCTAATTCGTCCTTCTATAATCAGTGCTAACGAACCGGAACAGTGTTCGAAGACAAGGAATACGCGGACCAGGCCATCATCGCCGTCGAGAAGAGGATTCACCACGAGGGCATGGCTCCAGCCGAGATTCCCGATGGGAAGACAGTTGTCCAAGAACACGAGGTTGCACGCGATCAGAAATTTGCATAAGCATATGGATCGGTGTTTTGAGGCTAACCATGGTGAACAACGGTGCGGTATGGAACGTTCTATTCTCGATATGGCTGGCGCTGGAGAGGTCGGTCGTGGATTCTTGGGGAATAAACAACGCAGTGGATGGACTTCGGGGCTTTTATGTTATTCTAATATTGCTGCTCTCTGGAGTGCCGCGTGGGAGTCGAATATCGTTTTATGACTATGTCATAAGTCATTCAATCATATCCACATCTATGAAATCGTTAACGCCTCCTTGATACCTGACTCTTGAGACCAGCTGATGTCGTAAGGGCCAACGCAATCTTGTACAACATCGGAGGTGGCCCTTTGGAACCCGTGAGAGACTTCGCACCCGAGCCGTCTATTGTAAGAAATTGATCCCAAGGAGCTGATTTCAGACGAAATTGCCACTTAGGGATCGCCACTGCTACTCTACCTGCGAATATACAGTTGGTGTTGGTGAAAAGGCGCTAGAAACTACCGGCACGGTGACACCCAACACGAGATTCAGCCTCATTGCGACCCGGAACACCCTATACTTACAAGGGATACCTTGCTCAAGAGCCCTATCGTAATTACCTATTTAGCGTTAAAGTGCTATTATTGCTCCGCTAGTAACGCTACCCCCCGAAGATCTTCTCATACCTTGCGAATGCCTCACAGCGCCTGTTGGGATCTGCTTAAGGCGTACGGCCTAAAGTCATAGGGCCTTACAGCGGGCCCAACCCCCTAAATTATGCCCTGGGAGATACCAACGGCCGAAATGCGCTGTAATCCTCTCACTTTATGCCGTGATCTTCGTAGATTGGCAATCCCACCAGACCCATTATGACTGAGTAAACTATAGGAGATGTTGTTTGAGGGGGTGTTGTGGTCGTGGCGGTCGTGTGAGCAGGGGCTAGCGTGGCGGGTTCATTTGGAAGAGAAACTTTCCAACGGCGACCAACTCTTGGTCGACGCCCATTTCTTTACGAGAAGAGGGCAACTTGACTCGTAGATCACAACACGGCTTACGGCAGGTTCCTTGCTATTCAGGTGGCGAGTAAGTGGAAGGTGCTGCCTGCTCACTTTGCTTGGTTTCTAATAGGCATTTTGTTAGAAAAGGGGGCGGGGTCGTTAAGCGAGCACGTGAGATGGAGAAAAAGAGGCGCACGAGAAAACATTGTGCCCTCTGCCAGCTCCCGACGCTCTCTTCCTGTTACCCGAAAACACCCAATACAATATTGAAAAAGAGGCGATAAAAATGTGATTAAAAATCGGTTAGGCAGGACCCCATATGCATTGCCAAATATGCAGAATGATACTACGGGGTAGAGCACATGTCGCACGTAATATGATACCTGTAATCGGTATTTCCTCCTCGCTCATCATATTTAGGTGAGACCATTAAGGTTTGGCCTCCTGGCGTGGTAAGCGAGCTTAGCGATGGCGGATTAAGGTTTCAGGGGATCACGTAGGAGGACACGAACGACTACCGGCTTATGAGACTTAGATCTTAATTACACAAACTATCTAGCATCACCGTAGCAAAACAGAAGGACAGTTTGTAAGTGCTAAATTATAGACTCCTTTCCACTATCATACACCTGTGCAGCAGAATCGCAGATGAGTAAGATTACAATTGTGGTGCATGTGAGGTGGAAATATCTATAGAACCTGACGTTCACGTGTTTAGAGTTCGGGCCATCGGCCTGAGGTTGTATTACTATTAGTTGGCACGTGGCAGGAACCATTCAAGTGCTTTTAGTGGGTCTACTCTGGACCTTGAAGGGCGGCGATTAGTTCTGTAATGAATTGATCTTTTGAACGATAATTCCTCTTGACCTATTGCCTACCATTTATTACCACGTTACAGTATAGTCCCGTGATAATGTCCTCAAATTACTTAAGTATATATTCACTGAATAGTGAATAAAGTATGAGTAAGACTTTTCTTTATCGAATATGAAATTGAGTACAAACAACTATTCTACACCACTCTATTCATTTGGCACACTAGTACACATTCACTTGAGAAGTTGAGAGCAATTTATTATAAGTATAATTAATTGTTACTATTCAGATTAGAAACCACAGGAAGGAAGCTGTAAAATTGAAATAGAGTTTGTCGGGACAAGTTGAATGGCGAAATTTTCGATTCGATTATATATCAAGTGGGTAAGGGGGGGATGGGGCGCGGCCCATTAGGACCTCCTCGAACGTTTTGACTTGCCAGCACTGAATTGCTATGGAGACCTGGCTACCATAATTGGGTCCTATTTTATACGCAAGAAGGAAATACAAATGGGAATTACGGAAACCACCGTATGGTCCGGCCGGTACCGGAAATGCCAGATTCTCCTCTATCCGATTCTCCAGCCCCTCTGTCTATCTCATCGTGGATCAACAAAGTCGAAGGTAACACTGTTAAACCGTTGTCCCTTTTTGAGGAGAACCAACCAGAACCTCTCACCCACGCCGCTCACAACAGTTCCCTAGGAGCACCCAGGAATCTGGAACAGGCTTTACCAGACCCTAATATCCATACAACCGAAGACAGTTTTCCTGGAGCACCCACAAATATCGACCCGCAGTCATCGGAACATGTTACGGCCAAAAACCCTCCTCAAAGACAAGGGTATCCTTGAAAAGCGAAGAGCGTGAACCAGAGTCCACCTAGAACCTTGCAGTCAGTAGTCGCGAAACGGCCCGGTCGAGGTCGAAAAGCCGCAAATAGTGGCCCTACGATAGTGGCAGACACCGAGACGGATACACTTAAGGAGCAAAGGGGGACGAAGAGGCCGAGAACTGGGGATGCTGTGTCTTCGCCAGAAGGCACACAAGTTGCGCAGAAGAGGAGGAAACTTGCCAACCGTGCAACCAATTCGAAGAGGTGAACTTGAGCCAGAAGAACGAAGCTCTCATCTTATCATGAAGTTCTCAGCATAATATTCAAAATGACACATGAATTCGCAAACTCCAATATCGGGTCCGTGTCAGAAGGCCCAATGTTGAGATCGATAGGCCCCCATGAAGAACCGCTCGCCCCTACTCTTGGAGTAGGCACTGTGAGTCGTCTGGAAGGACCACGCGGGTCCTCTTTGTATGAGACGCATCATCTGACAAGGAAAGGTCCAATTCAGACTTGCTGTACTTCAGCCGGTGCACGTGAAAGCCCTGCACTTCTAAAGCGGGGGAACAGATCCACCACCATTACGAACCTCGAATCGAGACGACAGAGTCGCTTTCAAGTTTTCAGAAAGCGGAAATGGGACATAGTTGCTTGTGTGCAGGTGAAGTCTCAGCGACCAAGATGGAAGAAGATCTGATCACACATCTCGGGTCGAATGTGGACGACGATGCATTTCGCAACAACAGAGAAGAAGGTTCGGCTTCCTTGTCCTAGATATAAAAGCTATATCTACTTCAATCAAAGTGATCCTAGCTCATGCCTTCCAAACCATCTATTTGCATTTGTCACACTCGTGCCGGTCCTTTTCGTGTCAAACAGCCTCGTGGTAAATCTTGAGTTTCTGTAGGAGACTAACACAGCCCTTCCTCATTATATTTGACTCTGGGGGCGGCTTGAGAAAGGATCTTGGACAATCTTGCAAATGATTGGCTAATGGGTTGCAGATATGTCCAGCACTGGGAATATCTCCATTATTGAGCCGAACCTCCGGCAGTGTCTCCCTTCTTAACTCCGCTCGCTCATAAAGCCGAGCGTCTCATTCTCCTTTGCTTGCCATTTAATTTAAAAAATGTTGCATGCTAGTCTTGATTGGATTACTGAAATCTTCAAATCTCATCTGGAGACGGAGTCGGGACGATTCACACGGCCCCACAATGCGCACAGGTGGTTCTGTCTGGCTTGACAAAACATCAGGCGTTTATATATCCCTCTCCCCACCTTTCATCACGGATGGAATTATCCTGAATGTTTAAACATTTATTTCCCGCGTTTTCGAATACTTTTGTTTTCAGTCAGTGTCTGGTGCACTACCAGAAATGTCTAATATGGCTACCAGCAGTATAGACGCCTCGCCGCTGGCGGCCATTCTAAGCGACAAATCAGCCACCGTTTCGGAACCTAAATGTAACAGCAAGCCGCGTACTCGAAGGAGGGCAAGCGGATTAGGTGGAGAACTTTGGGGGGATACCGGAGCACCCGCTTTTGCAACGTTGGACCTCTGGCAAGACCATGACACAAAAGTCAGTTCGACACAATTTTGATTCACAAAGAGCCAGCACTAATTGGCAGCAGACACATTATTCAAGATCCAGCAAGAAGTCCCACCACAAACGAGGAAAACAAAAATCATGGCTACAAGAGTACAAATTATTGGCATTCCAGCACACCTGGCTCACGCCGCTCATCATTCTCCTCATCCTCCTCACCCTCTACGGCGTTAACCCTAACCCTTCAAACGTCCTCCACCACCTCATCTTCCTCTCACACACGCTTCCACCCTCTCCCAACTCCCCACTCGACGCACCAACGCAATATAGCAAAGGCCGCTACGACCTCGCATTCGTAGCCTTCTACGCCCTCCTCCTAACCTTCACCCGCGAATTCATCATGCAACGCCTCCTCCCCCTCGCGCTCCATTTCCAGCTCAAATCCCGCTCAAAACAACTCCGCTTCATGGAGCAATCCTACACCGCCCTATACTTCGGCCTTCTCGGTCCCATTGGCGTCTTCATCATGAGTCGAACCCCTGTCTGGTATTTCAACATCGCCGGGATGTACTCCGGCTTCCCACACAAATCCATGACCGGCGAATTCAAATTCTATTATCTGTTTCAAGCAGCATACTGGGCACAGCAAGCGGTGGTTATTTGGTTGAAACTTGAGAAACCTAGAAAGGATTATAACCAGTTGGTTGGGCATCATATCGTCACTCTCATCTTAATAGCTTTAAGCTACCGGTTTCATTTTACGTATATGGGTCTTGCGGTCTTCGTCACTCACGATCTGTCAGATTGCACTTTCGCCGTAGGTCTTGCATCCTTGCCCCCTTTCTCTCTCGCCTCCATCCTCATCCCACCCTAAACTAACCTCTCCTTTTTTGCTAAATTTTGGGCAGACGAGTAAGACGCTCCATTACATCAACTCCCGCTTCACAGCCCCATACTTCGTCTTCTTCATCGGCACCTGGGTCTATCTACGCCATTACCTCAATCTCCGCATCCTGTGGTCAGAGTTCAATGAGTTCAAGACGGTAGGGCCGTATGTGCTGAGCTGGGAGGAGGAGCAGTATAAGTGTGAGCTCAGTCATTGGATTTCTACGATTCTGCTTGGAGGACTTCAGGCGTTAAATTTGTTTTGGGGGGTCTTGATACTGAGGGTTGCGTGGAGGTTTGGGGTTAAGGGCGAGCTGGGGGATAGTAGGAGTGAGGATGAGGGGGAGGAGGTAGTGGAGAAAAAGATATTGCTAGGTAGGGAGAGGGAGAGTGTCGGTGAGAAGAGTTCAGCGGCAGGTAATCGGAGGGCTGGAATGCCGAAGAGGAGGGCGAGGTGAGAGGGAAGATGTGTTTGTCGAACATTGATCTATGGGATCAAGTATAAAATTATTGTATGACGTATGTTTCCACTGGGGAGTATAGGCAACCGAAAGACCGGTGGTATGTCCTGTAGAGACCGTTGACTTGTCAACAGTATTCTTGAAATAATGATAATGTATTCTTGTCTCGGGCAGGTTGCCTGTGTGAGTGAACCGCGAACTGTTTCGCGGCAGTGCCGTCCGCAGGTCGGTTACACATCGATAAGGCGATTCTGCTGGGCTCTTACCCTACCAAGCCTACTCTTTCAACACCTCAAAGGTTGAAAGAGGCTATATATATACAAGATATGAGTAGCTAGTGAGTTGGTGCGGGGTTCTGCCTTTCCCGCCTTCTTATCGAGTGTAGTGATTGGTCTCTTCTTAATAGATACAAAAACTAGCCATCGTGCTAATTCTGGGAGCTCTAAGGGTTATCTCTACTAATACCAGGACCTTAATGGGCTAGGGGCACCCCGTCACGCGCCTCCGGCGCGCGACAGCGTACGGAGCGTATGCGTATTCCTTGAGCATACGCGTGCGTTGAGGATATACTTTTTAAGCGATTCTTGGGGGTAAGAGAGGGACGTGCTTCTTGCCCGCCTTTAGTGCGGGTGCCGGGGGCTAAAGAATAGCCGAAAAAGAAAGCCTTACTTTACGATAAAATTACAAAAATTAGCTTGCTAAGTGCGGGGGAAGGGGGTTAGAAGGGGGTTAGAAGGGGGTTAGAAGGGGGTTAGAAGGGAATCAAATTCTCAAATGCATAAGCACCCGTTCTAGGGTTTGCCCAGAGAGGGTGCTTATGCATTCTAATCAGAGTTAGCCTCCTGTCATTACCGCTTTAGGCGTATACCCATGTTTTAGGAATGCTACGCGAGCAGAACAGGGGTGTTGCAGGGATTTCCAGGGGCACACAGTTTTTCTTTTCAAACAACAGTGTGACCCTGCCAACCCCTGCCAACCCCCCCCCCCCCCATCGACACCCCTAATCGATACCGGGGGGTGGGGAGATGGGGGGTCGTTTTACTTTTCCCCCTAGTGCGTAGCCTCTCCACTTGTCGCAAGTGCGCCCCTTGCTCGAGACAACCCACCACAGCCAATTCGGTGCTTCCAGATCGGGTCCATAAGTAAGAACTGCAGCTTTGCAAATATTATGTCTCTCCCCACTCCCGCCTCGACACCTTGCGATTCCAATACATCTGGCGAGCAGACTCCGACCCCTCTGCCATCTCAGCATATCGCAATAGTAGAGCCTGATCCTGGTGACCAGGCTCCTGCCCCCCTCCCATCTCAGCCCATCGCACAGCGGGAAGAGCTTGACCTTAACGACCCGACTGATCTGCACAAGAATCTCTCCAGAGAGACTCACGATAAGAGCCCACCAGCCGCTCAACAAAAGCTCGAGAACAGAAGCCAACCTTCAAACCACATATCCATCGGAGACGCAGACGATTCGGAAGGCGAGCAGGCGACCAGCGAATCTCAGCATTCGGCGAATCTCGACGTCTCATCTCTAGCTGACCACAGTGACAACATCAGTGATCAGGATGCTCGTCCGAGTGGTCAGTCCTCTGGACAGACCACCACGTCGTCAGTACAATATCGATCGAACGCCACACGCTACCAATCCCGAAAACGCAAGCAGAACTTCGAGGGCAGTAGTGTTAAACATACCCGCATCGAGGCTGCAGACGCAACCGATGTTGAGCTCGGGGGCAGGAGCCTTAAATGCTCCGAGCACTTCGAATGTCGGCCCGTACTTGATAAGGGCGAGAGGCGTGACCAACAACCTGAGATATTAGAAGCCGTCCGGGACGGCCAGCTCTCGATAGCTGCAGTCACCACACCGGCACTGCCGCAGACGGCTGTCACATCACGGCGTCCATCTGCCGAACCGCCGACCTACGGCTACTCTCCACTTCAACATGCTGATGAAATCCGCCTGCTAACCATCGAGCCAGGGGAACAGTCAGGACCTATGCAATGTGACATCTTTCACAGCCGCATTTCTGATCATCCACTGTATGAAGCCTTGTCATATACTTGGGGCAGCGAGGAGACACCGAACAATGTTCGCTGTGGGGGGAAAGGGTATATCTCCGTCACGAGAAATTGCTTCGAAGCAATCAGGCGTTTGCGGCAGATCGATCGCTCAAGGGCCGTATGGATTGACGCTGTCTGCATCAATCAGACAAACATTAATGAGCGCAATCACCAGGTTGAGTTGATGCCACGCATCTACCAACAAGCAGCCACGGTGATTGTGTATCTTGGAGAAGCTGAAGATGACAGCAACCTTGCGATGGATTATCTCAGCACTTATGCATGGATCCTCGATCCTCCTACATTTGCCTCTCCGCTTTCGAAATCACAATCCGCTCTTAAACGACTTATTTCGCGTGCCTGGTTTAGTCGGATATGGGTCCTTCAAGAAGTCTTTATGGCTAGATCTGCAGTTGTTCTTTGCGGCAGTAAAAGCATCCGATGGGATTTCTTGCGGCGCCTTGCAAAATGGACTCCACAAGACTCATTTGGCAAATTCCCGCGCGTATTAACGGTTGGAAACCACCGGGTGATACAAAGTTATTCTAGTCGAGATTTCTTCAAGCTTCTTTGCGATGTTCGTGATTGTGACTGCAAGGATCCACACGACCGAATATTTGCGCTCTTCTCAATGGGCTCTGAGGATTTGAGACTGTCCTTGACAGTTGATTATACAACTTCTGTGGAGACACTTTTTACCACCGTGGCGAGGCATCTGATTGACTCCATCGGCCTAGATGCGCTATGCGGAGTAGATGGAAGGTGGGAATGTAGCAACATTCCTTCTTGGGTACCTGACTGGAGAATCCCAGCGCGTTCGACGCCAATGACAGTTATGGTGAACTTCAATCATTCAGCTGGAGGACTGCCAAGTAGAAAACCCGCGGAATTCTTAAGCTCCCCCTCTGCACCACAGAAGGTGATCCTGAGGGCCCAGGGGCATCGTCTGTGTAGCGTTGATATCCTTGGAGAAATATTCAGACCAAGCCGAAAGAGCTGGGGCGATATGATCCGTAAAGCCTGGTCTGGAATGTTCACCGCAGCTTATCCAGGCATAATCAGATTCTTTAGTATTCTATACATGGAGGGAGCGGCTCACTCGTGGGTTTACCAACCAAAGGGAGTGTGTCGTGAATATGACACAGAGGCAGTGGATCCAGGTAAGCACGCGCCGTTAATAAGACTGACACAGTCAAAAGAGGAAGGCGAGCCAGATGTACGCGACCCTATCAGCTTTAGAACAGATGCAAACTGGATTTACGGCCCTGAGATGAGAGCAGTCGATATTTACGGCTCTGGGACAGAAGCAGACGAGATACACGGCGATGGGATAGGAGCAGACGACATTTACAGCCCTAAGACAAGAGCGGTCAAGCTTAACGACCCTGGAATAGGAGCAGACAAGCTTAGTAACGTTAGGACAAAAGTAGACGAGGTTTACGGCGGCGAGATAGGAGCAGTCGAGCTCGACAGCCCTAGAATCCAAGCAGAGGAGCTTGAGAATGAGTTGATGGAATTAGAGCTAGAGAGTTTTCCATTCAGTAAAAGGAAAAGACTCCACTCATGTTGCACTGGTCGCCGAATATTCCGCACAGCGAATGCTGCGGGTTTAGTACCAGCACAAACGCAACAAGGAGATATTATATATATCTTTTATGGAGCAAGAACCCCATTTGTCCTTCGCAAAGAGTTTGATCATTTCATACTTATTGGAGCTTGCTTTGTTGAGGGAGTAATGAATGGTCATCTTGCTAGATATGCAGCGAAAGAGATTGAAATATGGTAGTTAATAGTGATTATATTCTAGAGCTCTTCTTGTCTCATTTACATTATTTTCTGCTATATAAAGCCGTTCTAGGCTCCATATCATACTCTTCAAGAGGAATGAGGCTCCGGCGATCTTTATTGCTCTTGAATATCAGGGAAATTGAGGTTGAAAGCACAACAAACCGGGCATCTAAAGCAGTATGAAAATCCTGTATCAGCTTCCATTGATCGGCCAGCAGGAAGCCCGCAGGCTGTACAGGAGGTTGAGGCGGTGGTCGAGGGAGCGATTACAAATGAACTGGTGACTGGCGAAGCAATTCACTAGTGTAATTCCATAGGGCGATCCCTTTTCTCCGGCTTTTTAAATGCTCCCTAAAGCTTCTGAGATATGGATGTATCTGGTATAACGTCTCGAAAAGAAGCTGCACGGCTTGATTAACTCTTAGTGCAATTTAGCCGAGACTCGGTATTAAGGCTTGAATAGTCAGAGAGATAGTGTTACAATAAAACATTATTGTTGTATTGTAATAATAATTTATAGATAGATGAGAGGAAAGAGAGGTGTGGCACGAGTGGCCAAAGCTTAAATACAGGAATGTAGTCACGTGAGCCTGCACGTGACTACTAGCACGCAGTTGCCATGCAACAGATAGTGGCTTTCTAATTCCTGTAAAAGTCTGAACTTTGCTAGCTTAGGCCCCTGAGAGACCTTATCGTCTAAATTAGGCAATATCTTATTAATAACCGAATAAATTCTTTTAAAGTAAATCAGTATTTATATATTATAAATATTTATAATAAACTAATATATTATTTATTTCTCTTTATTATCTAGCTTTATAAAGTCGAATATAGAAATAGATTTATAATAAAAAGTATTTTTATTTTTATTAATTATTAAATAATAATTATATAAAATTAAGAAAATTGAAAATTTCTTAATTAAGTCTTTTTATATTTAATAAATCTAAAAAGTTTAATAGCTTTTTTTTAAATTATTATTATTATTATATTATAAATGTTTTATTAATATATAATATTAGAAATAAAAAGTATATAAAATATATAATTATAAAAAAAGAAATATTTATTAAATTATTAATAAAAGATTTAAGTCTTTTAAATTAACTTTTTATAAAATGGTTTAATTATAAGTAAGTTTTAATTAAAGAAATGGAATTATTTTAATCTTTATTAATACTTTTAATTAAAAATTAAAAATTAGTAATATTATATATAACTAGTATTTTTATAAAAAGAAGAATTAGTAATAAGAATTATTAATTTAAAGCTAATATAATTACTTTACTTAATTAAAATTTATATTCTTATATTTTACTTAAGCTCTTTTTTAGCTAGTTTTTAATTAATTCTTTTATTATTAATATAATTCCTTATTTTATAATCTTTATATATATTAGTTATAAGTCTAGTTTTATACTAATATACTTTTTATTAATATATTATAAAGAGTATTTATATTACGGTTATTACGATATACGGTACTAGTAGGGGTTAGACTAGAGCTAGAGAGGCATCTGGCATCTGAGCGAGGCATCTGTAGTCACCTGATCGTTGCACGTGACCCCGAGCTTAAGCTAGCACGTGGGCCCGTGCGTAGCTCGCGATTATTTAGATCCGAGGCTCCTTCGGGATCCTCTTCTCTCTTTAGCTTTGAATCGTTGAAATAGAGACAGTCTAACCACGCCTTTCAGGCCCTAGATCTTGTACTCGTGACAATTTAAAAAATTTTATATTTTAGTTCGTATTTTTATTATTTATTTATTAATTAATTAATATTATTTTTATAATTTTATAATTATTATATTAGAAGCTATAATTAAGATTATTATTTTAAAGAATTATAGTTTTTGGGCAAACTAGTTTAATATCTTTTATAGAATAGCTAGTAATAAAAATATTTAAAATAAGATTAATTTATTTAATAATAATATTTAATATATTAAATTAAATAAATAATAAATAATTCCTTAATTTTTTTAAATATTTAATAAAGAATATATTTATTAAACTTAATTAATTTTTCAGAAATTAAATTAATTAAATTTTAGTATAAGCTAAATAAATATACTTATTTATTACTTTTTAAGAAACTAAAAAAGAATAAACTTTAATTTTTATATTACTTATAAATTAATATATTTAAATTTTATTAATTTAATTATTATTAAAACCGGAAATTCTTTATATTTATAATATTAAAAACCCTTATATAATTATTTTTCGTATCTTAAAATAAGTCTTATATAATTATAAAAATATAATTATTATAATTTAATAAAATATTAATAATATTAATATTTATTTATTTAAAATTTATTAATATTAGTATAGCTATTCCTCTGGAAGTTACATATATAGTTACGGGATACGGGATACGGGATATAGGTAATAAGTAATAGGATATAAGTAATGGGATATGGGATACGGGATATGGTTATATAACCTCGCATCCTATTAGTAATTTGACTAGTAGACTAGACCCCTTTAGGCTTAGTAGATTTAGGGATCGCATATTAATACTATAATACTATAATCCCTACTTCTAAATAATAATAACTTTACTAACCTTATATAAATAGTACTTCTATACCTATATAATAGTACTATATATTCCTAGTAAACCAATACTAATTAGTTAGTACTTATAGATCAGGAAGAATTAAGCTATGCTTGCCTAAGATTCGGTTACTTAGGGGTAAAGCTATTATTCTAGTTAAAGAGGAAATAACTATTAATCCTATTACCTGTAATTTAGTTATATAGGCAGGAAAGATACTTAATCTTACTAAAGCCCGATTATACTATATTAAAGGGGGAAATATCTATTAGTCCTATTACCTATAATTCGGTTATATAGGCAGGAAGAGTACTTAATCTTACCAAATACTAAAACGGTTAGCTATTTAACTATTCTATTTTATTTCTATTTAATTCCTATAAAACCCTCTCAAAAATTACTTTCTTTTAAACCCCTGGGGCTCTTAAGCTTTAGAACTATTAAGTCTTCCCGGAATCTCGATATTTTATTTCTTAAATTTCATTTCCTAAATTTCTTATTATAAACGAAATTTTTACCTTAAATATAATACTTATTATAAACTACCTACCTTATAAATTACTCTTTTTTTTATAAACCTATTCTTCTTATAAACTACTATATCTTGAACTAGATACGAGCCTATAGAATATATAATAGCAAAATATATTATAATAAATAATTCCTTTATTAGATCTATCTAATCTAATTATTTTATAAATAATAATAATTTTAAGGAATTAGTAAGAAAGTAGAAATATGGGATTAACCTAAACTTTACTAAAGCAGACGAGATAACTGAGTTCTTAAATACTAAGCTATTTTAATACGTTTTCTATAAAATAGTTAATAATAACCTTTAGGAGCTATTTAGATATAACTTTAAAAACTTTATTTATTAAGAGGACTTTAATAAATTCGAACTTCCGGAGATACTATACCTATATAAGACCCTTTAGTATAGTAGTATATTTATATAATAGAATAATAATACTAATACTATTATAAATACTTTATATATTATTATAAAAAAAAATAGTATATATAATTAAATAAGAATATATTAGTAGCTAGAGTAGACCTTATTAAGAAACTAATTCTATTAGGCTTTATTACCCTTATAAAGAATAAGTGCCTAGAACCTATTATTTTTAATATTTCTATATTATTATTACTTTTTTTACTATTTCCTTTATTACTATATTCTATATCTCTACCAGATTTATATACTAGTATAGAAACTCCAGAAGCAAATAATATACTCCTATTACTACTATTACTATAACTATATCCGAATAACCCTTAATTTCCTTTAACTATAAGACTTATTAAGAAAGTTACTAAGATCTATACTAAAAAATAAAAATATAATAGATCTAATAGTAATTTTAATTATAAACTTATTATTTTCCTTAATATCTACTAATATATAGAGCTTCTATAAGAGATATTAATACGAGCTTTTTTTACTATACTAAAAGAACTAGCTCAAGACTATTTCTATAATAACTAGCTCTTTTAATATATATATAAAGAGGCTTATATTAATATCCGTAGCTTCTTTAAAGGCCCTGGATTCGAATATCGAAATTTAGACAAATAGAATATTACTATATTAGCTTCTATAATAGCTAAATTTCCGGAAAAAATAATATTTAAGACTATTTAATTACTAATTAATAAATTATATTAATTATAATATAATCTTATATCTAACTTATAAAATATCGAATTCTTTTATAATAAGATTATTATCTCTTATTAAGGCTCCCGGATATATAAATATATAATCTCAGACCTTCCTGCAAATCTCGGCTAGCTTATTAATAAGCTCTAATTATCTATTACTATATATAAGAGTAAATAATAAGCTAATCCCGAAACCTTTTTTACTAATTAATAATACTATTCTTAGAATCTTCTAAGCTATTATTTCTCCGGAAATTATTAATACGAACCTAGCTATAATTTCGGAACCCGTAATAATTACTTTAAGCCCTATAATTATAATAATTATATTCTAAAGTTATATTTTATATATAAGAAACCCGAATATTACTTATAGAAATATATATTAGAAAAATAAGAAGCTAAGAAAACTCGATTTAGGAATAGAAATATCTATTAATTTAGATTCCGAAATACCTATAACTTTAATAAATACTTTAGTAATACTTATATATAATATATTACTAAAGCTAAAGGTAAAAAAGGTAATAAGAGTAGTAAGGACAAACTAGTAAATAATACTTTTAAGGCTTTATTAGTAGAAACGGATAAAGAAGAGAAATACTACCTAGATTCCTACTTTATTTTAGTTGAGAGCTTTTTAGCTACTTCTACTACTTCTATTCTACTAATAACTATAGCTAATACCCTTATAAATAACCTTACTTCTCTTTTCCTTATATATTAGATAATAGGCAAAAACCATATTTTAAAGCCTATTAAATTCTTAA